TACAATTCCGCGTTAGTTGCGAAATTCTAGAGGTCAGCATTTTGAGTTAATGTTATCTATTTTACTTATGTTAATAGTGTATTGTCCGAAATTGCCATTTGGATGATAGGTGATTTCGGGCAAGTATTACATATGCTCCTAAAAGAGTCACCAATATCTAATGCATTGGTAACATCTGTAAAAGCAGGGAACGATAACGTTAGCAGAATCTTCATATCTTATTCTTAACATTTGTAGAAAACTTTCTGTATGTCTGTTAGTTGAGCACATCATATCAATGAGGGCTGGTCAAAAGGAAATTGATTAAATTACAATTCATGTCCGAAGCTGCGTTGCCTCTCCAAAACTCGTAAAAAAATGTTCAATACTCTCACGAAACAGTGAAAATTGTGTTACTTCGAAGGAATTCTTGTCTCTGAGCCCTTAAGGACCCTTTTCCTTATTTCATCAGGTGATGGGTACACTTGTGATATACTTTAGAAATTGATTCAGTCTTGAATGTGAGTTCAAATTTTGTGAAAATATCATGACGCAAAATACCAAGAGACGATGACAAATACATGGTGAAATGCAGCTACTATAGATGGTGAAGAATGTGAGAAGGATTATATAGATTACGAAGCATATAGGTCCGATAACGAAAGTGTGAATGCCAGATTTATACCAGAACCTCCGCTCAAAGCGACTCCAATTTATTGAAAAGTCCTTCAACTGTCAATCATAAATTGAAATAGTTATTACCAAAAACATACACACATGGTGTGTATGGTAATATATGGAAGGGACAATTCACAGGAAAAGCTGCACCTATATGGAGTTGTAATTACATAAAGGGTGAAGTAGATATATTCGACCTACTGTGAATCCGAAGATGACCAATTGTAGTATTCTATAACTTGCTAATGGTTGCAACTTGGTTGATACACCAACTTTTACTGATAAACATAAAAACATAAAACTTGATATTTTGTCATATTTCATAACTTGAACTAGGAAAAAATGAACTTATAAATAATAAATTCTGCAAAAGACGAAACATTTCCAAAAAAACTAGCCCCATACCAAATGCTAAAAAGCGTTATGCTCACCCGACTCCAATCCAACATTGAGTATGCCTCAAGGTTATTTTTACTAAATAAGCATCAGGTTTAAAGAGTAACAAAAATTATCACATCGGGTTTGTTTGGTGCTTTACTTAGAAATACGTTTGGAACGGCTAGTGAGCATGTTTCTATCTGTCATTAAATTTGGTTACTCCACAGCAATAAAAATTCATTGGTTTTAAATGCATCATCCTTAATCATGTGCCTAAATTACAAATGTATAACAGTACTTTAGTATCTACACATATTTAATATCACAAAACTTTTGTTTGACAAGGTGTGCAGTTTATACCCAAAAACCCAAAGAAAGGGATGCTAAATATGACGGTATCCTCTTCAATTAGAGATTCTATAATTAGCGGATTTTGGTTTTTTGTAAGAAACTGTTGAGCGAGTTGATTATGGCACTGATATCGGACAATTGGTCAATGTTCAGTGCTTTTTTTTAAATTTATACGTGTTTATCTAACTTCCCAAATGTAAAGTACTAAGGGAATATAATTCGATATACGCGGATAATGAAAATGGTTGGCAAAACTTACATTTTTCCCTTTACCCTTTCCAAGGGGTTAAATCATATTCAAAGTAAGGCATTTATCAAATCAAAATAACAATTTTGTGCAAATGATATACTCCAAGTTCAAGAAAAAATTACGGCAACTAATGACTTCCTTATTTAAAATTTATATTCTGTATTACACAACCATAACACTATACAGTTGTTATTCGATTTTCAAATTATATAATTTCTTGATTGCTTCGAAATTTATATATTTCCTATTGCAAGTGATTGTCGGCCTCTAATGATTCAAGCAATGCACATGTGCTGTTTATAGTAAAAAACGGCCTTCATAGAAAAAGTGATAATGCTGATATTTTTTTGATCTGCTAAATCGTAATTGATTTTGTTTGGCTTGTCGTCCAAAGCTGCTCATGCAGTTAAAAAAGTATATCTCAAATGAAGTCTATGCAAATCTAGGCACTTGGCGATGCTGCTCCTGGCAAGCGTTATTTTGCATTTGAAATAAAAGTTTTATCCACAGTTTTGGTTAAGTAAGTTTTATATAAAGTTACACATTCTGATATTATGTGGATTTAGATAGTTCGCTCTTTGAGAACCTAAGGGCGATGCTTGTGAAATTTGGACACCCGCTTTGCTAAGATTTCTCAGTTTTTTAACACTGACCTATGCATTAAGATCAACACAACCTATGCATTACGATATTTTTTCCTAATAAAACTTTAGTATTTATTATATAAAAATATATTGTAAATAGCAATCAAATTGTTAAAATTTTTGCAAAACGTGTGGGCATTCGTCAATCGATCGGATGGCATGTTTGTCAGGTATTCCATAGAATCTAAAAATATCACTATTTTCTAATAAAAAAATGCGACGTAGGAATATTAAAAATGAAATAAACTAAATGTAACTAAATAAGTATTAAAAAATCTGTAATTTAGAAAACTGAAAAAATGTCATGTTAAAACATTAACAGACTTAAAATTTCAATTAATCGTCCAGACCTAATTAATTACTACATAAGCGGTGATTGCCGCTTCGACTATTAGCCTTAGGCAATAAACGAAACATATTTTAAGAGTTATAGGTTAAGTATATGAACATATCAGTTAAGCAGCTTTAGTTTGAAATTTAAGATTTTTTATTGAAATATGTATGTTCTTTTCTGTCTGTTCTTTAAAAATTGCAGTTTTTGATCAAGCTAAACTTTTTGTTTTTTTTATAGTGTAAGAAGTAACTCTTCTAAAAATGATCTAAAACTGACCAAGAAATGTTCTAAGAGGAACTCTCTCACTATTTAAACGGGAACGCACTAATATATGTAACTGAACATTAAAAGTAATAAGATTTTTAACTTTGAGTCTGTGCACCCCGTGTCGCGTGTTTTGTAAAATAACAATCCCTTCAAAATTAGTTTTCTACTTAAGATTAACGATACGTTTCAAATGTTTACTTATTAACCGATAAACGAAACATGTTTGGATTCTTTAAAAAAATTCAAATACGAATAATATTTAGCGATCGATTCAATTAATAATCAATCGAGCCCTTGATTTAATTAGTCGATCAGTTTCAAGTGGAGGAACACTTATCATAAAAAAATGTAAACAAACAGTTAATAATGTTATTCGACAGGTTCCATTATGAACCAAAAATCTACTAACTTTAGGCTGTGGCTCAATTATTCAAGTCGAACGTAACAAAAACTCTAATTAACCCTTGATTGATTATAGTGCGAGTTAACCAATCAACTTTTTACATTAACAATACCATTCAAAGCTCTTCGACAAATAAATTTCAAAGAATGAAGTATAATATTTTACATTTACATTTGTGATTACATGTTTATCTGCATAAAGATCTAATTTCGCAAACACTAAATAAACTATTAAATCTACATAGTATCTCTACGTGGTGATTCAGGTTTTATCCTGATAATTTCGGAATTGGCAGAACAGGTTAGAATACGAATGTTATTACATGGTATAAAAAATTTTGCGTGCGTGCTATGTGCGTTCAAATTATATTTTTCCTGCTTTCTTCTCATAGCTTCTGAAGTTCAATTAATGTATCAATACGATAAGGTCAAATTCGGTGGATAAATATTATATCCATTCTTCTGAACTTTTAATTACATAGTTTTTTGGAAGTGTATTTTCTGTTGTCTTTTTTAAACTGTAGTTTCAGTACTTCCATTTTATCCTCTTTCAAAACTTGAGCAACAAAAATAAATTTTAATAACACACGTGCACAAATCAATCCGCAGATTCAACTTGAAACTTTTCGTGTTTTATTAATATTTTTTTGATGTCTCATTAAGCGTGTGCTCGGAATTTCATCGTAACCGGATGAGTGGTTCAAAATTAATGAGAAAGAAGCCTGAAAAGTCTTATTTCAACTTTCATCTATCTCTGAAACTGCGATTTTTTGAAAATTTGTACGTCGTGTAGCTCGATATTATTACCCATTCTATCGATTTTTAAAGCTATCAAGATTAAACCTGAATCACGTTTTATAATAATTGACGTAAATGTGCAAAAAAACAGTTGTTCTGATTCTACTGCTTACCAGTTACGCTTCTAAAAGGAACTCAGGAAGATTCGTTAATGTGGAAAATGATTATGCTGAAACAATTTGTTTAGGGCTGAGCACATTCGCAGATGTCCAGGTATTTAAACGAGGAGACCTGCTTTACACCTTTGCCTTTCATGGTCAAGGTTATTTTTATGTGTTTTGGAGAAGACCATGGTATTTGTTTTCGATATGTTCTTGAATAGACCATATCGTTCGCTTTGCCTATTTTATGGATATATGACTGATTTGATGGATGTATGATGACTCTGTAATTCAGTTGGACTGTTGGCTATGATGACGATGTGACTCTCTACTATTACCGCAGATTTGCGCAGAAAAATTTGAACTAATTTCATTTTTCAATTCAAGTCTGTAGACGGGCTTGGATTTTAACACGATATTTATCCGATGTGAAGGTTTCTTCAACATTTATGAAACCAATATAATATTTAATGGTGTTTGAAGTCAAAAAATTGTTAACCGATCAATGTGCTATAGCTTATCAATTATAAGGGCATTAAATTTCCAAAAAGTTGATAATTTTTGTATACAATATGGTAGAAAAATTTTAATTTCATGCCAAAAGACACGATCCGGTACATACAAAGACCTACGCAAGATAATGTATCGAATCGAAATTAACGAAAATAATTGAAAACCTAATGGTGCTTATAGAAAGCATCTTGCTAAGCGTTTTTGTTGTTTATCGTTTAATCCTTAATTATTTTCTTATGGCTAAACAATAGAGTACCTGTATTAATGTATATTTATGACAAGATTTTTGCAGAAAGTCTACATACCCGCTGGAAGATATTGTGATTCATCACAGGAAATAACATCACCCCCATTTGAAAGTTGATACTCTGTTCGCCGTCGCAAAGTGGTTGAGTGTAATGAACCACCACGCGGAGGTATTTCGGGTGGTGCCGGTTCAGGAGGCGAATCCTCATTTGCATCTAAAAAGTTACGAAAGTTATAAAACGCAGATCTCAAATATTTCTAAAAAAATCTAATATAATTAATTCCAATATTAAAATTCTCTTCTTTGATTAAATCTAAACAACTTTAATTAGTTACTAATAATTCGTTCAATTCAATATTAAAAATAAAATCAAAATTAAAGAAATTTAAATACGAAATTGCTAACACGATCAGCTTAATGCTTGAAAACCCACTGAGAAGACATGTCCGAACATTGTGTATATCTACCGTGTATACCGTGTATATCTACCGTGTTGCTGCATTAGTAGCACGTGGAGGAAAGGGCAAAATAATTTTTAAATGTGATGGGTGATGGATGACGACTTAAGTCTTCATTAGTAAACACGAGACTACATTTTATCTATACAGAGATTTAAAAAAAACATAGCACATATCAATAAATTACCTCATATTGTGGGTTCAAAGCTAATTTAAGAAAAATTAATGTTTGTCTAAAGAAACTGACGAAGTCTCCCGAAGCCACACAAATAGGTACACTAAAATATGATTTTAATGAGCAAGTTTCCAAAGGAAATCTGATATAAATTTGCAACGGTTTAAAAGTGCATTTACCAAAAAATTGATATTTTAGACTTGGTCTGTTTTAGATTGAAGCCCACGATATTAGAAAATAATTGGGAAAATACATTATATCCTTAGATTACAGCACAACACTTTTTGATTTTCCCTCCAGCCATTTTGAGTGTCTTAGCCCGATCAAGAATTTCCATTAACATCAGAAAACTTCACGGAGAAGTAAACAAGAAATATTAATTTATGAAGCCAATTTCTTGATGCGGGAAATTCAAAAAATATTTTTTTCATCGCCCAGTGAGTGATCTGTGAATAAGCACAATGCAATTTCTGTTTTCAAACATTTCAAAATAGCTCAAGAAACAAGATCGAACAATTTACGCATATATATTATGAATGAACCATCCGCCTTATCTGAACTTGATTCCGGATATACGCAAAATGGATAGATATGCAAATTACTTAAAAGTAAAGGAATAAAAATCGTTGAGTTAAAAAGCAGAAGAGCTTTATTTTGAGGACCTTATTATGAAGGTGAAAATAGAAGAACATTCCATGATTCAGGTATGCGTTTATGAGATATCATCAAAAAACCTTTTACGAAACTTTTACAATGCTTGTCCTATAGTCAAATGTGATTGGCGAACATCTTGCAAAACTATTTTAATAATGGAACCTTGGGAGTCACTTTCAGCTTGTCGCAATTATGCAATAATTTTTGTGTAACTGAAATATAAAATAGTTATAATTAGATTACTGTGCAAATTGCTGAAACTGGTCCTTCACGCTTTTTGAAGCAATTATGCGGAAATCCTAAAATGTATTTGGCTACAGTCCAAAGATGAATCGCTTCTACCCTTCAATATTTATCCCGATTTAATCAACTTAAGTAGACTAAACAGTTTCAGTCCGTAAAAGACAAGATTATAAACTATTCGTGTTGGTGCCGACCAACTACGAAGCAATCCCAAAGGAAGTGTCTTAATTGAGTTAACTGATTCTAGGCGCTGCTTCGGATAACATATTATTATTACCTTGGTAAAATATTTTATTTAATGATCTCAAAGTGCTGGGTATGTCTTCACTTTTGAGTAACCACTTTCAGTTCATTTTTTTTTGAAAATGTTGGACTAAATACTTATGAATTTAGAATGTCTGAATCAACCAGGTAAATATGCTTACAATAGTTACGTTATTGCCTAGACAACTTATTTATTATCATGGAGAGTAGTGTGAAAATAAAGCACGTTTTTTATGATTAAATAATATGGAGGCATCAGCTTCATTACCATATCAATTTCATTAATTTATTATTCTTTCCTGATGAATTTAACCTGTTTTATGTGATTGTTTTATAACCACTTGCTGACGACGTACCAACACGATTTATTTTAGTAGCCATGCTAATCGAAATACTCATTGGATGCACTTTCAATGGACCAACGTTTAGGCATTAACGACTTCGAAAAAATATATAGTTATGGAAAGATGATACTGACTTGAGACACAAAGCAACACTCCTGGAGTGTAAAGAGAGCTAAAATACAATTGAAAATTCAACAAGCGCTGCCAGAGCTGCCTCTCTTAAATAAATTGTTTTTATTATCAAAGAAGAGGAAAAAAACAGGGAACCATTCCCTAATATTTGCATAACGCAGTATTAATTTTGTATAAATTTACATGTCGTTGTCGTGATATTTGCATCGCTCTGTTATTTTGCGAACCTCATTAAAATTCAACATTGTTTACTTAATCTCGCCGTCCGAGAACTAAAATTTGTACGAGATCATTGTTAATTGTTATATTTAGTTAAAGACAATTTCTTACTAGGAAAGGCTTAAATTCCATTTTGGAGCCTGACGCATAGTCGCTTTGAGACGTGTGTAAAGAACGATGTTTTGTTTCGACTCGCCAGATTCGTTTCGTCCAAATTTGGTGTTTTCAAGTTAATAAATGAACATATTTTCAAAAGCTATTAATACAAATATTGTGGCATTATACTGAAAATTTGGAAATTAGAAAATTATCGAGAACATTAGATTCGGTGCGATATTCCATTATATTCGGAACAATATATCAAAAAATATTTGTACGAAATATTTGGAACTTTTTTATACGGAATACAAAATGTTATTCAATAAAAAGTACTGACAAATTAAAATAGCATTCTCCCAATTGACAGAAAATAGCCCTTATAATTGGTCGCATCTGTACTCAAGAACATCAAAGTCACACCTCAGTGAAACACCTCAGGCGCCTTTCAAAAAGTTTGCATAATAACTTTAAATTGCTAGTTACATTATTTTTTACAAGTTTTGCATGCAAGTTTTGATTCTAAGATATTAATTTTCTGTATAAATTACTCATACAATTCCAGTGTCAGTTTGTGACACGATTTACGAACATGAGGAATAGGTATTTGTTTTCTATGCTTTCTATTCACAAGTAAACCAGCCTTTTCTAACTGACGCAAGTAAATATAATTTACTTACCACTGATGTACTGTCGTGAATCAGTTTAAACCCTGAAAAATTCAATAATGACTGAAAACTCACACGAGAAAGTAATAATAAAGTGACTTTTTGATAGCAATATAAGCCAGTGGTAGTATACGCAGTTAGGTCCGAGGGTGGCCATTAAACCGATTTTTTGCATTTGTCGCCTACTTGAAACTGCTTTCTTTTTAGGCAAAGCGGGTTTCGACTACGTAACCAAACGTATTTTTTTTTATTATTACAGCCTGTTTCTGGAGAAAGAGAGAGGATATCAAATCGCTGTAGGATATCAGACTCGATAGGTGGTTATTCGCTTAATATTTCTTGATCTAAAAAAAAATTTTACAAAAATAAATTCATCATGCTGACATAATTGGCTCTTCAGAAGACTTTAAACTCAGTTATTGATGTTAAATTGATTTAATGTGAATTTAATTGTAACAAAATTATTTTTACTTTATTATATCTACAGTTATCGAGATGTTTCCAAATATCGATGAAATCTCGGACATACGACATTCCGCATCCTAATATAATTAATATAAACGCGTAATTGAATGTATGAATCTTTGAACCGAAAACGACCGCACTCGATCGATTTCAAAACTATAGGAATTCCTAAAATACTAATCGGTCTCGATTACTAACATGTCTAATCGTCAATTTTTCTAAAACGGTTGCGTTTAATTATAGAGCATATTTGACGAAACCAGATTAAAATTCGCAAACACTTTACAGTGAAATTTATGCTTTTGAGCAAGGATATCTGAAGGAAAATCAGTATAAAGAAAATACATAGCTTTTTATATCATTTTAAGAAAGTAGGTTAGTAAATCTAAAATTGTGATGAAACAATGAAACCAGCAAAACGAAAAAAAAAACGATGATAACAAACATGCACCAATCGACTTATGCTATTGGTGATATAATTTTATTGATTAATTTGAAAGTTTGCTTTTTAAAACAATTTATTTCCAATTAATACAAACAATGTATTTTAGATGTAACCGAACCTTAACTATAACTTATGACTCGTAAATCTTAAGACTGACTAAGATTGACTGTAGACTATCTGAGACTGAATTCTCGTTTCTGCTGTGACTTATTTTACAGTTAAATTATGCTGATCTTAGCAGAAACGATACTACGTCTTATTTTATAAGAATTGTCGGCATAAGTGGCCATATAATTATACCCAAAATGCATTTTCTGTATTGAATGTCATCGATTATTTTCCTTTCAACCGCTGATGTTTGGGGTTTTCTATATTTCGTGGTGGTTTCTTTATTTCTAAGTTATTATTTTCGAAAGTTAACTGCCTTAAAGATGGCTAAGATATTTCATTTACCACCAAAAAGTTCAATAAGCTTGTATAAATGTTTTTCCAGCAGATTTGAGCATAATCAACTTTACTTTTACGACAATGGAATTATGAATAAATTATTTAAGCGGCTAATATGTTTAATTGCAATAAATTGGAAACTTTTGCCGAAAATATTTAAAGTAAAATTACGGAACGAGTGAGGCGGAGAATTCACCTGAGAATGGCATAATCCAGTCAACTGATGCAGGATACTTGTCGGGGCACCACCTAACCGGATTTAAGTCAATTACGAGTGCTCATTCATTAGCATAACTTTCTTGCCACCGCTAATATGATTATTGAGCTTAGTGTCGTTTGAATCCGGCGCTTTTCATAAATTAATTTTGCCGGTGTATACTTGATTTACTTTTGACAGGATATAGGCAAAGAGTGAAAACTGCCAGGAAAATTTGCAAAATTGCAGCAAACCATCCATTTAAACAACCGACATTATGAGTCAATAAGTGGAAAGGTGAGTCTACTTAAACTGCTAACCCTGCCCCGATATAGCATAATAACATTTAAAAGTATAAAATATACATTAAATATAGAATGTTATGTAAATATTTCCCGTGAAGTAATAATTTTAAGTGAAAGTTAAATTTAAAATGCCCGTTTTGGATGGACAAATATCAAATATATGACAAGCGGCAGCTCAATGATTGATAATGCATTTATTCAATTAGGTAAAGGCAGCAATACCAAAGAGTACATATCCCATCCCCGTCCCAAGAGAACCGAAAATTACCTTGATTGGCAACGATGTTAAGTTGCGAGTTTGATCATATACATGGTTCGGATCATTTCAAGCACTTCCAATCAATGTGACATGTGTATATTGTTAGCGGCAACTTTTTAGATTGCAGCCCTCAGGACACGCGTCTTGAGCAGTTTCTTTCACGCATCTCGAGTCCGATTTTCTTGTTTGATTATGACTCTCGTTAAGTCTCACAAAATATTTTGAAAATTAGCTCTTCAAAAATATGAAACTGATCAGGTGCTACGTATCCTATGCCAAAAGTTTAAAAAACTTCTAAATTTCGTCAAACGATTCAAATAGGACTCATCAACTCATTTAAATTGTCACTATAGACTGTGGTAACTTAAACGTAGTAAGACAAACAGTAATTCAACAAACAAATAAAGTCAATATTCATATTTACCGTTGCTCAGTGCTCTGGTATGCTGCTCGTGGTACGGAATGTCACCGTTAGGTTGCAATATATTTTCGTTGCAATTGCTATTGCAGGAAGTGGCGCTGCTACTCGATGTCATACCGCCCATTCTATGTCGCCTTCCTGAGCGACTTAGGGTGGTGTTGTTTGATAAGTTTTTCATGTTTGCGGTAGCATAAATAACTTCTCCTGAAACTGAAATATGTCCTGTCAGGAATTACGCAAATGAATTTGTTGACATATTTATGAAAAATTCATTATATTTGCTATGGTGTTGAGAATAGAGTTTCTAAAAAAGAACAGTTGTGCGGTTATTATAATAATAAGTGTGACAAAAATCAGGCGCAAGCATTGCAAGAATATGATTTTGCATATTTTAAACATGTCCATTAAAAACATCCAGCTATTATATTGTTGCGTTTAATTGTTTTTAGATAACCCTTTCAGGGAATAGAAGTTCCAACACTATGACGTTTTCTAATAGAATAGCTTAAAAACTAACGAAAAATTTTCAAATTCTACGTTAGATGGCAATGAACTTTGACCACTATCAGAGTCGTCGTGAGTTTCTGATATAAGCAGGTGCTAATTTCTGGACATGCTAATCTCATAGAACTCCATGATCATTTTCAATCTTGTTAGTGCTCATCAGAGAGGTTAGGCCTGAAATAGCTCTTCTTAAATCTGTACGTTATTTTGCTAATATATTTTACATCAACCGAGGTTTTTAAATCGCATGTATCATTTAAAAGTGACACTGACCGAGTAGAGTAACTAACGCATGAGTAGCACTTACTTAAACCATATGCTCATTAAAAGATATACTTTAACAAACCTAATAAACAGACAATCAATGGTGATTCACATAATTGATAATCTAGACGGCCCCTTAGAAGTAACCAGTTTATTGGTGTTAAGAGATTGTCGAATTGTTAAGAGATGTTTCTGTTAACATCATGTTTGTTAGAAAGTAAAAATGTTTAGGTTTTGCCTGCTTCGTGGCTTGCCACCCAAATCTAGGGTGACCTGCCTGAAGGTTGTTAGTTCTATGCTATTAATTCAAATTGTTAAAAATTTATATTATTTTTCTGACGATAGTCAGCAAATCTTAAAACTCGCCAAGTAATGAGCGCCGAACCCGAATGTCTGGTAAAGAAGACAATTAATGTAACACTTCTTTATATTGTGAAATTTTATTTTCAAGTTCAGCTTGTTATCAACGTGGTATTTCCATAATTTATAGAGCAACTGCACTTCAACTGACCTGCATTAAATCTAAAGCTGCAGTCATAATACCTTCAGTCAATGAAAACATTACTAGTCTAGGTATGTCTATTATTTGAAGAATCTTTGCATATTTTTTTTGTGAAATTGTTGTAAATGTATCTCAATTAAAAAAAATTGCCAATATGTTAAAATGCACAAAAGAATTGGGGCTAAACGTGGGACGTTTACACAGCACTAACTACTCAATATAGGTTATCAATAGTTATCAGTCCTCAATTATTTCAAGTGTTTTGATTTAGTTCGTTTTTTCGAAGCGGTTGCTACCCGCCTACTGATATTCGTATTTTTGTGTAATTATGTAATGCTAAGGACATTACTATAGCATAAAATTATTGTTATCATAGCATTTTTATGCTAATATGATGCACTTTTACACTTAATCATTACAGATTGTTTCCGCCAACATAAAACTCCCACTTCAGATATTCAGCACGAATAGAACTAAATATTTGCTATATCCTTGTCGCACGTCTTTTCGAATAGCGCACTTTAATAAATAATGTTTTCATCTTGATAACTGAAGTGCTTTTTTCAAATAGTCAAAGCGGTTGATGATCACTAGCCTCAATTTTTAATTAGCTTAATCTTCTGCCAACCACTTGTTTGCATTAATAGGATGTTTCTTAGAGTGTACTGAAGTAGTTAAAACATGTTATGTAAACTATCGGTTCGATAATGAATATGGATAATGGACTCTAATTAAGTAATAAGAACACTGAAACGCATTATCACAATTAAACACTTTTCATTATCATTAATGATATGTGGCGGTGGAACAAAAACACATTTTAATGGTAGTGATGTCGCAAAAACATTAAAAAAATATGCTTAAAATACATTTTCATCATTTCCGAAAAATTCTATAGATAAAAAAGTTATACAGAATGTCTTATAAACACTGATGATACTGCAATATTCCTTGGATCAACAGAAGGCGACCGGTTTAACTAATTCAGAGAACTGAGAATTTATTGAGTGTCTGTACAAAAACTGCCAGAACTTTCTATTTGATAGATGCAATCAACTGATTTTTTTTAATTTGGAGCACTAATCCTCATCAGACTTTTTGGTTTTCTTGTGACAATATTGTAGCATTATCGTTTCCGCGCAAAAACTATTTCCGTTCTTTTGCCAATTAACAGTTTTAGTTTTAGATATTCAYTAATTTTTTATATTAACATATTTGAAATTAGGTTTTTTGTAAAATTGGTTTTGGGCCAACATCAGGACTATACCAGGAGGATAAAAACTCCTTTYATCTTAATTTTTAWTCTTTTTTGCTTTTGAACATATTTATTTCAGACAAGTTTTACATACTTCTTACTGCTACTTATTCTACGGATCCTTAATGCTAACATCTTGTTGTTTTAAGTGACATCGTATGACTTAATCTAACTTATTCTAACCTAAACCTAAACCATAACACATCCTCTAATGCTTTCTAAGCTAACTTAAATCTAGCCCATGGTCCTCGTTGTGGTGCAGGAACTGGTCATCGCATGTGGTCCACGTCTGCTTCTTAGACTGTGTCCGCAGGGAGAGGTCTGCGGTCACAGTTGAACTTCTTGGTGCAAGAAACCCTGACGGTGGGATTCTTGCTTTGCCGGATCCTATCCAGGAACCCTGACGTTAGGTTCCGGATGTGGTCCAGCAGGTCCTCTGTATCCAGGTCTCTTCGCAGGGTGGTATTTCTGACGAAGTATGGGGCCTTTGTCACTATCCTCAGTATTTTATTCTGAAATACTGCCAGTTTCTGCTTTTTCGAGGTGCTGGGTATGAACCACGTAGGAGATCCATAGGTCAGCACCGGGCGTATCATTTGCTTGTAAACTCTAGCCTTAGTTCGGAGGCAGAGTTTACATGACAGTAGAGGATAGCAGGCATGGAGCAGGAATCTTGCCTTGGCGATGGTGTTTGCCATTTGGTCGTGCCATACTAAACGCTTGTCATATGTAAGTCCAAGATAGGTTATCTTGGACCTCCATGGTAGCCTCTGTCCTGCAAGCTCTAGTAGGCCTCTAGGTGGATTCTTCCTGCCTCTTGTGAATATGATGGCTTGTGTTTTTTCTGGATTAAACTCCATTTTCCAGTCCCTGCTCCATTTCACGACATTGTTGAGCTGTCTCTGCAGTTTGGCTTGGATGGCAGGACCCTTCCCGACGGTAGTGAAGGATACATCGTCGGCGTAGATGTGGCCTTCTGTGTTCTTGTTGATTGGAAGGTACGCCATGTAGATATTGAACAGGGTAGGGACCAGAACCGCCCCCTGCGGTACTCCTGACATCATTGGCCTGCTTGCAGAGAGCTGCTCGTCTGCTCTGACTTGTAAACTGCGTCCGGAACTTTTATTCTCCTGGTATAGTCCTATACAGGGTTGCTCATTAGTGCGTCAAAGTGCGATATCTCAGTAAATATGAACTTTACAAGAAAATACGTCCTACGAAAGTTTTTCATGTT